ATCTAATTAAAGAGGTATTTATACTAATAATATCCTAGGTGGCATCACACCCTCACAAGATGGCCGTCACAAGATGGTTGCACACACAGCAGAGGCAGCCGCTCCACACAGTAAAACCTGGGGGTCCCATGGCTTTGCATGGCACAGAGGAGGCCAGTCCCAGCAGTGGAGGTGATCAGGCCACAGGGGAGCAGTTAGGCATCAATCAGCCTGGCAGGGGAGTGTGGTTAGGGGCAATCAGGCAGGCAAGCGGTTAGGAGCCAATGGTCCTGGATTGTGAGAGGAATGTCTGGGTGCCTGTTTATGCCCGATCCCGCAGGGTCCCAGATTGGAGAAGGTGCTAGCCGGGCAGAGGGACCACTCCTTCCCCCATAGACAAATTTTGTGCACTGGGCCTCTAGTTAATAATAAGACTCAATTGGTAACAAAATATCTCTTTCACTTTTCTCTAGTTTAAGATGTTTTACAGTTAAAAAGAAAATCAACAGGCAGCCATAATACACGAAGGCGCTTGGTCCTGGGATCTGTAGAAAGCCCCTGACCCAGAGGGCAGTGGGCCCAGAGGGCAATGGCATCCTGGCGACACCCAGAGGGACCCTTGGCAGAGGCGGCTGTGGGTGGCCAGGGGTGGAGCTGAAAAAGGAGGGCATGGCTGACGTGTGCTGGGGAAACAGTGAAACCCTACACGCTGTCTGGGCCTCAGTGTCTGTGTTTAATTTGTAGCAGCTTGAATTCTGTAGGAACAGGCTTCTCCCCAAGGAAGCCTCTGGGCCTCCAGCCCACGGCTCTCCCTTCTGCCTTCCCTGCCCGGTGGGAGCGCTGGGGGTTACCTGCTGTAGTGCCGGACCTCTGCCACCTTGGTCCTCGGGTCCCTGGACCTCCCTGACCCCTGTGTCCAGCACTCCCGTCTGTCCCACGGTGGCCGCGGTTCACAGCTGTGAGGCCTTGTCAAGTTTTCCCCTTTCCTCTTCTTTCTAGCTCCACCCCTCCTCCTCCACCCTGTGGGATTCCCGGACCCTGAGTCACGAAGCCCTCTGCCCACTGCCCGCCTGGCCTCCGTGAGTGTGCGTGTGTGTGTGTGTGTGTGTGTGTGTGTGTTGAATATGGTCCCTTCTCCCCCCAAATCCAGATGGAGGGAGGGTGCCGCTTGTGCTAAGAATTAGAGGGTACTGATTGGGCTCAGGGGCTACGGGACACTTTCTCAATAGTTGTTGGAAAATATTGGGAAATACTGTTTGGCTTGTGTGATGTGAAAGCTGTTTGGGTTCGGTGTCTTGAATCCCCGGTTCCATCTTCCAAGCGGGCAACGTAACTTGATTTTGAAGTGTCTTTTTTTAGATTGAGCTGAACATACAAATCTATTGATTATAAGCACAGAGTAGCACAATCCGATTGTGCAGATAAGTTAGAGGGAGGAGAATGAAGAGGCCATTGGAGACTGTGGTTGGCAAGTGAGCAGGCGGGACCGGTGCAACAGGAGCCCTATGTTAGAATCTGCCACCTTCCCCTTCCACGTGGTGTGCAGGGAAACGGGGGGACCAGGGACTGCAGGAGCCACGCATTAACCGTGATGTTTAGCCAGGATGGTGATGTGGGAGACAAAGTCACTCTGCAGCCCACACTCAAGGGATAAGGAGTTACCTCCACCTCCTGTGAGTTTATGTTGTGAACTGTGTGAGATCTGTGCCCAACTGTATTCATTCATCCTTTGCATATGGATGGCCAACGGTTGCAGCTGGACTTGGCGGGCAGGCTGGGCCATGCTGGGTGCAGTTGGCTGGGGTGGGTGTCTAGCTGAGGCCTGAGCAGCAGGGTGGGAGATGCGTGAGCCTGGAGGGGGAGTGGAGTGTCTTTAGGAGGGCCAGGCCTGCTGCAGGCTGGGTGATCCTGGAGCTGGAGCTGTGACTCCAGGAGGAATCCTATATAATAAAAGCCTAAAATGCTAAGTCTCTGATCATCCAGTCGTCCATTCAACCAATTAAAGCATAATATGCTAATGATATGCTGATGATATGCTAAGACCAATCAATCACCCACTATGATGTGCTGCCTGGTGGTCAGTGCGCTCCCACAGGGGGCGTGCCGCTCAGCCAGAAGCCGGGCTCACAGCTGTTGAGTGCAGAGGCGGTGGTGGGAGCCTCTCCCTGCTCTGTGGCAGCGCTAAGGATGTCCAGCTGCTGGCTCCTGGATGGCAAGAGGGTGCAGGTCTGGCTGAGGGACCCCCCACCCCCCAGTGCATGAATTTCATGCACAAATTTAGTGTACCGGGCCTCTAGTCCTTATATAAATTCCAGCACTCTGCTGTCACCCACTGAGTCTGCAGGCTGGGTGCCCTCCTGGACAGTCTGTACACCTTTTTATTTTTTGTATCCTCATTGCCTGTCCCAAGGTCTGACACAGTAAAGCCGGTGAGTGACTGAGGAAGCGCCAGGGAAAAGCAGAGCTCAGAGGACCGTACTGGCCCCATGGGAGTGGGCTGGAAGGCAGGGTCCGTGGGGTCACCCAGCCTGCTTTTTGGTATTTGAGTGGGATGGGTGGGGCCGAATCCTCAGCATGGAAATGAAGGTGGGGTTTGGTGGTGAGAGTTTTTGGAAGGAAAAAGCAGGATGAGAAATGGAAGCCAGCCTTCCTGTTATGACTAGTTCCTACCACCACCCAAAGCAGGGAAATCGAAACGCTGTCCGCTGTCCAGGCTGCATGCTGGCCAGACCATAAAACACACTTCATTCCCCCAGAACCAGTCCTTTCCCGAACAAGGCCCTGTCTGACCCACACGTCTGTCCCTCTGCTGCCATGCTTCCTACGAAGCTTCCTTTGGACTCCTTCGCATATCTTCCTCGTCATCCTGAGTATCAGTGGTTTGCAGTTAACAGCAGCCATTGTTTAAGACAAAACCCTCATCAGCCGCAGTGGATATGTTCACCATCACTGAAACACTCAGGGAGCAGCGACTTGGCCTCAGGGCAGGGGCTGGTGGGTGGCTGGGCTGATAGATTAAATAGAGAAGGTAGGCCGGAGACTGGGTGGCAGGACACACAGGCTTTATTGGAGGAAAGGGTACCCCTGCCGGCTGCTTCCATGGAGAGGTGCGGAAGAGAGCGAGCAAGGGGCTTACAAGCACCTTTAAGGATAGAGGGCGGGGCTTAGGACACCACATGCAGATTGATTAGGGACCTAGGGATTTAGGAATGGGGGCTTAGGGTATTTGGCAGGTGCTGATCGGTGGTTCAGAGCTCAGGAATGTCTGGCTGCAGGTGGGGTTTATGTCTTTTACGTCTGTCCATCAACTGGAGAAAGGGAGGATCTGGGGGCTGGTTGGTGCTGGGCAGGGGAGGCAGCAACAGGCCAGACCCACCCCGTCTTGGGCGAGGGCAAGGACTTCTGTGGCTCCTTCCTTCCACTCACAGCCTTGAGAATCTTCATCTGCCCCCCTAACATTCCATCTTGCAGAGCCCCCTGAGAGCCTTTCTCACTAATTATTTACCCAATCCCACAATCCAGCCGCCTGCTGGGAAGATGACTTAGGTTTCACCGGGTAAATACAAATATTGTTTTGAATAGAAACAGGGGAAGGACATCCAAAGCTAAAACTCCAGAGCCTGCTTTTAGTTTCCGGTGAGCACTGGGGTCCCGGGATGGGAAAGGTAAGTCGCCTCCTCTAGTTCAGCCTGTTGGCGCAGGATGAGGTTCTGAACTAAGTCTGGATCCATCTCTCCCCCTTCTCCCCCACCAAGGGCTCTGTAACCACTTCAATCTGAAGAGCAGGTAGGATGCGCCACCTCAGGGGCCGCTGGGACTCAGCAGGAGGCGGAGCGGGCGGTGAGAAGAGGCGGGTCGGGAACTGGGAGGCGTCCTGGGCGGGTGCAGCAGCCTCGGTGCAGCTCAGCTCAGCTCAGCCTCCCTCCTGCAGCTGCTTGGTCCGGGCCTCACAGGCGCCAGCGAAGAACTCGCAGGCAGAGGACCCACCAGTTCTCCCTTCCAGATGACACACCCAGTCCGTATTCCTCTCCCCCCTCACCCCCCCGCCCACCGCCCGCAGGTTCTGGTCTGGGACCCGCAGGCGTGGCCGTGTCTCAGCGCCTCTGGTGGGGGGGGGGGGGGGAGGGCTGCGGCGCTTCTCTCTTGCCCCGGCCACACCCGGAGCCTCCAGCCTCTCCAGTTCCCTGTCCCCCCGGCCTCCTAGGACACCCGGTCTCTCTCTGTGCTGACGTGGCATGGATTCCCCGGGACATCCATCAAGTTTAAGGAACACTGGGTTTCGGCTGCTTCTGAGAAGGAAGCCGGCCCCGCAGAGATGGTGAAATTTCCCTCCTAAGACACGGAGGCTCCACCTCTAAGAGAGGGGCTGGCTCTTAAAGAGAAAGAAAAAGACGCATAACTTAAACAACTGGGAACGGCCCTCCAGCTCACGCTTCTCTTCCAAGGTCACAGCCGTCCTTGGCGCAGGGACCGGCTGTCCCGCAGTCACCGCGCCCGAGGCCCGCGCAGCCGCGGGGGCCCCGCTTCCGGGGCGCGGGTCCGGGGGTCCGGACAGCGCCCCGCGCCCGCCCGCCCTCGGGAGCGGCGCCCACCGGGGTCCCCCCGCCCAGCCGCAGCCGCCCCAACCACGGCCCGACGCCCACGCAGGCGCACGGGGCCGGAGCCCGGGGGGCGGGGCCGGCGGGGCCGGGGGCGGGGGGCGGGGCCGGCGGGGCCGGGGGCGGGGCGGGCCGCCGGGCGTTTCCGTTGCCTGGAGCTCGAGCTGGAGCTGAGCAGCGGTCCGAGCCCCGCTGGCATACCTGACGCCGCGCCGCCGCCCGCTCTCCGCTCTCCGGAGGCTCCGGTCCCTCTTCGGTGAGTGCGCGCCGGGCCCGGGCAGGGGCCTCCGCGGGGGAGCGGGGCACGACGCCGGGCGGAGGGGATCCCCGGCGGGAGGCGGTCTGCCCGGGAACCAGCGCTGCCCTGTCTTGCAGGCCCACGACCCTTCGTCTTCGTCTCTGCTCCGGACCCGAGCGGTCGCCATGGCGCAGGTAAGGCCCCGCGCAGCGAGCGACCCGGTTCGCGCCTCGGTCAGGGCGCCCGGGGCTCTGGGGTGTCTGAGGGCCAGAAAGTTTAGGAGACTCTGCTCCGGGGAACCTGTCCGGCCCCGGGACCCTGCCGGTCCTCGAGGTCCCTCCGGGGACCCGGACCTGCCCAGCCCCGCGGGTCCTCGGGGTCCCTCCCGGGCCCCGGACCTGCCCAGCCCCGCGGGCGCGGCCCGGAGACGTGGCCGGGCTTGGCCTCCGCCTCGCCGCGAGTGGGCGTGGAGAAGGGGCCTCCCCACAACCCGAAGAGCCGCCAAAATTAGAGCCAGAGGGGACAGCTCAGCGCGGTCATGTGAGGGGAACGCCTTTTTTTTTTTTTTTTTTTTCTTGCTTTTTTTCTGGCTTCCTTCGTTTTTTTCTGCCAAGTTTCCTGCATTTCAATGCCGGGGATGGGCGTCGGCTCTCCCTGCTGAGCCTGCCGGGCTCTTCCCAGTTGCTCAACCCAGCTTTACTAAAGGAACTGTTCGTCGCAGGCACTGATTTTTTTTTTTTTTTTTTCATGCAAAACATGAAACAGAAAAGCCGCCTAAGTGATGAACTCGCGGAACGAGTTCTGAGTTGACTTTCGCTTGGGTCTCTTTCAGATCTGGATGACCTAATATCGGCTTTCGTTGTCTGCTTGACATTAATCAGAAATGCAGGGAGGAAAGCTTTTAACATGGATCATGTTTCTCTGTCTTCTCTGAATGAAACATCGCTGCCTCGCAGCTCCACCCAAAACTCCTTTTCCAGACCTTATCCTTCGGAAGGGCTTGTCAGAGTGCAGGTCATTTTTTAAAACAAGAGTTTTCACTACTCAAACACTGCCCTTTCTCACTGAGATTTTTTTTCTTTTTCTTTTTTAATTAGATTAACATCAAAATTGAGTAAGGTTTCCTAGCCCTTTCCAATAGAAAATGGGAGGATTAAGATGGGTTGGCAACTATTCAATTCATACAGTACTCCATTCCTCCTCTTTTGCACTTAAGAAATCTTACAATAAACCGATTCTTCACATTACGTCAAGTGGAAACTTTGGTTTTCCTCATGGAAAGGATACTTTTTATGTGGAATTAACTTTCCTGAGAATAATTTGTCCTATCTTGATATGCTAGTGTGGTGATATAAATGAGTGAGCAAGTTTCAAAGAATAATACTCTTTATCCTTGCTCATTGGCTGTTTCTTGAATCTTTCTTGTATGTTTTCCCAGCGATGTTTGAAGTTTTTCAATCAATGCCTCTTAATTATGTAGACACTTGACCCAAGAGAGCATCAGTGAGCACATTTTTCCGGTGCGGACATTAATACCTCCAAAGAATGGAACTAGTGTCTGGGCCCTTATCTGGGCAGAACATGGAAGAAAGATGATGTATGTGATTTCTGTGCCAACATAACTCCAGGCCCGTTTCCAACCAAAGCTACATTTTTTCAGTTATTATAAAAGTTACAGCTATTAAAGATACAGTGTCAAATTCGCACTGGCTTTGTCATTAGTTATCCTTGGGGGCCATTCAACCAAAACATTTTGATAAAATATTTAATATTGCGATGGACTTTGGTTGTCTGTACTTGCAGTTTGGAATTGATGTCCTCTGGCCCCAGGGCACCTGGAGGGGACTTCGGTGTCAGGTTCAGTGTTGTGGTCCGCGGTGGTTCCTGGTGCTGACCTGTGGGTGTGGGGACCAGAGACCTCACTCTGGCCACCTGCATTAGACTCATGGGATTAGATGCCCTATTCTCTCCCAGGCGCACATTTTAGCAATTTAAAACGTATTAAAAATCAGTGTCTCTTGTACAGCCTAGTGTAGCTCAGCGGTTGAGTGTTGACCCAGGAACCAGGAGGTCTCTGATTCGATTCCAGGTCAGGGCACATGCCCAGGTTGAGGGCTCAATCCCCAGTGGTGAGCGTGCAGGAGGCAGCCAATCAATGATTCTCTTTCATCATTGTTGTTTCTATCTCTCCCTCCCCTTTCCTCTCTGAAATCAATAAAAATGTATTAAAAAATCCGTTTTAAAAAAAATTGATTCAGAGAGGAAGGGGGAGAAAGAGAGAGAGAGAGATAGAAACATCAATGGTGAGAAAGAATCGTCGATCGGTCAGTTGGCTGCTTCCCGCACCCCACACCCCACACTAGGGATTGAGCCCGCAACAGGCCAAGTGCCCTAACCGGGAATTGAACCGTGACTTCCTAGTTCATAGGTTGAGGCTCAGGCACTCAGACACGCACAGCGGCAATTCTTCATGTTTATGAACCATCTTCTGCACCAGTGTCTTCTATTCCTACTTAACGCTGGAACCTCCCCCTTTGCTCCCATGGGTTTCCATCTTACTAGTCAGCGAGAGCCAACTTGCCCCACAGATAGTCCAAGGTACTTTAAATACATTCTGCACTCTTGGTTTGAAAAAAAAAAAAATCAAGATTTGGCTGTGTTTCATAGGTGAATGATCTATTGAACACATTTTCATTCAATTTAAGGCTTTTATCTTTAATTTTTTTTAAGGTGATGGAATTTTAAAATATTATACTGGGGCCGTCCGAGCTCAGTTTCATTTTTAAGGCTGTTTATAGAGTGAACATGTTCAAGGACAGTAGGGATGTCATCATGGCAAAATCTGGCTCCTTAATTTTTCACTAGAAATGTCATGAATGTCAAAGGAGTTACCTCCTGATGTGAAGGTTGGATTGCATTCCCTGAGCTTTGGTGATTTACTAAGGTCTGGCACAGGGGCAGGGGCAGTTTGAGGGGGAAGCTGCGACGAGGCTCTGTCCAGAGGTGATGCTCCATCTGAGGCACTTTCCAGGCCCTGCACCTGCAGTCCGATCCCTCAGTGGCCAGGATTTCCCCTTCGGTCTCAGGTCAGGGTTATCCGATACTCCTGGCCTGTGCTGCTTCCGGCTAGTCTCACTCAGGTCCCCGTTCCTTTGACTCTTGTCTTTGTTTTGGATCCTTTGGAAGAGCTGGATCCAAAAGGGCTTGGCTGCGTCGCCAGTCCCTGAGTTCCCTGGCAATGGGCCCTTCACACTCTCCTGGCAGTGCCTGCCTGGGAGGCCTGCCCAGTGGCGGGCGAGTTGGCAAGTTAGCAAGTTAGAGGTGGCAGTCAGTGACGACTTCTCTTAGCGACTTAGAAGTTTAACGTGGTAGAAATGTCACAACATTTTTACATCATAGGTCCATTCCTCAAGTAAATTCCACTCCTGTAACCTGATTACTATTCTAAAACTTCACCGACAGAGCAGTTGATTAAAAGATAAATTAGGACTCCTGAGACCTTTCTTTGGCTTTACTTGGATGTGGTTTTTGGACCCAGCCTTTCTGTGTCTTTAAATTCTCTGCAGAGAAGAGCAACCCTTCCCTTGCTCTTTGGTCTGATTTTACCCATTTTATTTTGGCGTGCCTGGTCTTTGAAGGCAAAGAACTTTCCAAAAAAGCCAACAAAATGATAGAGCTGGAGGAGTGAGTAATTTTGAAGGTGAGCGTTTACAGTGAATTATACGTTTGGTCAGGTATTGTCAGAAAACGTGTGTAAGGCATGGTGGCAGGGGACGAGGTAACCGAGGAGGACAGCATGGCTGAGGGACAGCACCTGGTGCATTGAGATCTTCCGGGCGAGGTCCATTGTGTGCCGGGCGAGGGGGCGCACAGGATGGAGGGAAGCCCTGTGAGTCACGGGAAGTCAACCTGCCCAGCGCAGCCCGCAGCCCACAGCTCGCTCCGTGGGCGGGGCGGGTGGGGGCAGGATGTCCACACGAGGGCTGTGGCCTCTGACTCATGTCTGTGACTCACATCTGGTCCCTACAGGGCTTTGCTAGCGTGTTCGGTGACTCTGGCCATATGGAATGTAGAGAGTATTTCTCAATTTCTAGAAAGCTCTCTAGCTAGAGGCAGTGGCTGAGGTTCTGAGGACACTTCTCTTCCAGCTTTTGCCCAGTATCCTTCATCTCAGGGTCAAAAAAAGATCTCTTCTTTTTGGGCAAATCTCTGCTGTCTCCTCTGTCGTTCACCTCACCCCTGTGTTAACGGCTGTTTGTCACTCCTCCCTAGCCTGTATATGGGGAAAAGTGTTTTTAATGTTTTACTTATTTGTTGATGTGAGAGAGAGAGAGAGAGAGAGAGAGAGAGAGAAACCTGTTCCACTTACTGATGCCTTCATTGGTTGCTTCCTGAATGCTCCCTGACTGGGGATCTAACCTGCCACTTTGACTTCTCAGGTCAACTCTCCAGCCAGCTGAGCTACCCGGCCAGGGCCCGAGTCTGTCCTTATGTTCTTACAAGCATGCTTTAATAAACCTTCGTTTGTAAGATGGGGGCTCCCGGAGATGTCCCTCCCCCCACCCTCCCTTCACTGCTCCATGTCTCCAGCCATTGTTCCTGCCGCCCGGACCCAGGCCCCCAACCCAGGCCCTGCTCCCCAGCCCCCTCCTTCTCTTCCTCTGGTTCGGACACGCCTGCCGCCTCCCCTCCTGGAACACGTTTCCCTCCGGCCTTCGTGCCAGGGCCCTGGTGAGCCATGCAGGTGCTGGCGGCCTTCCCAGGGCAGGGGACGTCCCCTCTCCTCTGGTTTCCGTCCCCACTTCTCCTGTTTCTGCCCTTGGTGACCGCCTCCTCCCAGCTCCAGTTCCCACCCACGTGCTGACACTCACAGGCCTGCTGTGGGGGAAGGAAAGCAGCCGCCCGCTCCCCTGCCAACAAGGAGCTGGCCTCCTGCTTCCTTCTGCCGGCCCTGACACTGTCTGTCCATCCCTGATTCCATCTGCTGGCCCTGACCCCCTCTGTCTGCTCCTGACACCGTCTCTCCGGCCCTCACCCTGTCTGTCTGGCCCTGACCCCGTCTGTCTGACCTGATCCCCTCTTTCCGGGCCTGATCCCCTCTTTCCGGGCCTGACCCCATCCTTCCAGCCCTGACCCCATCTGTCCAGCCTGACCCTGTCTGTCTATTCCTTTCCGCCTCAGCGGCTCCTGCCCGGAGTCATCCACCTTCTCGTGCTGGTAGCTCTGCACAGTCTTCCCAGGTTTGCAGGGACCGTTTTGTCGTCTCCCCCGCTGCCCTGGTAACTGGGTGCTGAGTGGCTGTGCCTGGAGCACGGAGGAAGACAGAATTCCTGAGCTGACCTTCCAGAGCCCCCCTGGCTGTTGAAACACTCACCCTTCACCAGAGCTGCATTCCTCCCGGTTTTATGCTTCTGAAGCCTCTCACTGCACTCCTCCACTTTCCGGAACCTGCCTGGCGACTCACAGGCCACTTTCAGGACATTTTGGGGAAGTTTTTCCCATTTCTTCCTGATCCTCCCTCTCAGTCCCTCCCCAAGTGCTCATGTCGCCTCAGAGAACCTTCTGTGTGTGCCTACACACTCCCAGATCCACTTACACGGCATCATACCCTCTGGGCTGGAGAGTCCCGGTGAGGATATAGTGCCCGGCATGTGGGGGCATTCAGAAATGGTTGTTGCTCAGCCAGTGTGGCTCAGGGGTTGAGCATCGACCTATGAACCAGGATGTCAGGGTTCGATTCCCAGTCAAGGCACATGCCTTGGCTGTGGGCTCAGCCCCCAGTGTGGGCAAGCAGGAGGCAGCTGATGAGTGATTCTCATTGTTGATGTTTCTATCTCTCCCTCTCCCTTCCTTTCTGATATAAAATATATCCTATATAATAAAAGCCTAATATGCAAATCAACCGGTTGCTATGATGCACACTGACAACCTGGAGTCAGATGCTCAACACAGGAGCTGCCCCCCGGTGGTCAGTGCGCTCCACAGGGGAGCACTGCTCAGCCAGAAGCCGGGCTCATGGCTGGCAAGTGCCGTGGCTTCAGCCTCTTCTGCCTCTGCTTCAGGTGGTGGTAAGGAGGGAGGGGTCCCAGACTGAGAGCCCTAGACTACGAGAAGGATGTCTGCCTCCTGTTTAGGCCCCATCCCTGGAAGGATCGGGCCTAGGCCAGCAGGTGGACATCCCCCGAGGAGTTCCGAACTGGAAGAGGGCGAAAGCTGGGCTGAGGGAGCCCCCCTCCCTGCCCCTGAGCGCACGAATTTTGTGCACCCAGCCTCTAGTAATATGGAAAAGAAAATGGTTGTTGAGTGGATGAATAAGCAGACTGGCAAACTACACCCACTGTGGTTCCTCATTGTTATGGCGATGCTGGTGGTGCCAGCAGAGGTTTGAAGCAGCCCCACTAAGCGGCTGCACGTGGTGGGAGAGGAGAGCAGCACTTTGCCTCCCAGTCTGGAAGGGCCGTCTTCCCAGCCTTCCCCGCTTACCTCCTGAGCGGCGCTCCCTGTGACCATGTAGGGCCACCTGATGTTGCCCGTATCAGCCGCCTGGTTTCTCGTGGCTCAAGTCGTGGAACCAGGGGAGGGGACCTGTGGCTCTTTGAGCATCTGCCGTGTTAGAGGCGGGCGGTGGAGACAGCTTGGTGGGGGCACGTTTCCCGGGGAGGTGGGGGGAGTGGAGAGCTTTGACTTAGCTTCCTGGCCTCCGAATGAGACAGGGGATGGGCTGCCCCTCCCCTTCCCTGGCTGCCTCACCCTCTCCTTAGCTCGGGGAGGAGGAAGGAGCTGCTGCCAGCCTACAGGCCGGCCTGGCAGTCACGTGGCAAACAGCCCGTCCTCCTGGACACAGCCCTGAGGTCCCCTGGAGAGTCTCAGGGTGACTCCTGTTGAGAGGAAGGATGAGGAACCTTTCTTCTTCCCTTGAATGAGAGGAGGGACAGGAGAGAGGATCATCCTGACTCTGTTATGGTGGTGAGGGAGGCTTTATTGAAGACGGTTGCAGTGGGGGAGAGAGTGGGTTCCAGTCTGAATACAGCAGACACTGGGGATGCAGTAGGGGAAGGGGGTCAGGAGGGACCTTGAAGACATTTGTGGGTGAAGGAAATGCTGCAGCCTCCCTTTGTCATAAGATAAACATTTGGCTCAGTGTTTATAGCCTTCTTCCGCTAAAGATCTACGGATGCACAGACATGAAATGTCTCAATGCTTTTTAAAAAAATATATATTTTATTGATTTTTTACAGAGAGGAAGGGAGAAAGAGAGTTAAAAACATTGATGAGAGAGAAACATCCATCAGCTGCCTCCTGCACACTCCTCACTGGAGATGTGCCTGCAACCAAGGTACATGCCCTTGACTGGAATCGAACCTGGGTTCACAGGCCGATGCTCTAGCCACTGAGCCAAATCGGTTTCGGTAGTGTGTCGATGTTTTAAGTGCTGTGTGTATGATCAAAGGGTGGGTAGCAGGAAACCGATGGAGAGAATCTCCCACAATGCACCTTTGTCTTTCAAAGATTGCCTTCTTCTGGTGCACACATTTCCGGTAACTTCCAGGCAATGCCAGGTTCCTGAAAGTTACTAATAAGAAATAGGGCTGGATGCAAGCCCTGGAATGAGAGCATGAGCTCCTGGGTTGGCTTCCAGCTAGGATGCGGGCTCCGCGGGCTCCTGGATCAGGGGCCAGAGGCTTCCTGCCAAGGGGGCCTGGGAGGAGGCGAGTCAGGAGGTGGGAGTGGGAGGTCCTCCCGGGCCACACCCCAGGGAAGAGGCCTCCAGAGCTGGCCTCGGCGCAGACCCTGACCCGTCCATTTCCAATAGATGACACACGGGAACTGTCCCTGTGCTTGCTGTGTCCCTGTTACTCACTGTGAATTACTCCGTTCCCGCTTCAGGCTCTCAGAGGCACCGTGACCGACTTCCCCGGCTTTGACGAGCGGGCGGATGCGGAAGCCCTCCGGAATGCCATGAAGGGCCTGGGTAAGGCCCTTCCTTTTGTTCTAAAGAAACGGGACGTTGTTTTTCCAAACAAAGCGTCGTGATTCCCAGGAGGATTGACTTTGGAATGTTTGATCTGGAGAGAGGTGCACTGAGATAGGGGAATCATGTGCTCCCACCTCCCGGTTCAGCGCCTCCATCTGCAGCACCAGCCAGCTCTTCCTGTGGAGGGTGACAGCCCGAGGAGCAGACCTGCCCCAGGCTCACCCTCTGCCATCTTCACTGTCCTTACCCAGCACTACCCGCTTCTTCATGCCCCCCTCCACGCCCGTCTCCTCTGTCCCAGCCTCCTTTCCAACCGCTTAGTAGCCTCTGTCCTCAAGGATTTCCACATACACTGTTCCCTGCCCCCAGACCCTTGCCCAGGTGTGTCTTGTCCTCAGGCCCCTGTCCCCAGGCCCTGCACCAGGTGCTCCCCATTCCCAGGCCCTGCACCAGGTGCTCCCCATCCCTAGGTCCCAGGTTAGGACCCACCATTTCACATGTGGCTGCCCTTGGGGAGGGTTCTTGTGGAGCAGGGGTAGTTGGGGGCTCTGGCTTGGCCAGGCCTCTGTGGTACCCCAGCCCGCCTATCTGACTCCTCCCCTGGTCTCTGAGCCACACTGCACCTGCTGTCCCTCCTGCTGCCCTTTCCTCTCCTCCCAACAAAGCCCTGGCCTTCCATCCTTCAGACTGATGGCTGCACCTTTTCCCCACCCACCTCCTGTTCTCGGAGAACCTCCTTGGGACCCCACTTAGCGCCGGGGCCTCCCCTGGTCCCTGCCACATTCTCACGGTTGTGTGTCTGTATTTCCCCCCTGAACAGTCACTTGAAACCAGGTGTCCATCTTTGCCTCCCTCAGTCTCTGGAGGGCCCACGGCTTCATGTGTGGGAATCGCACTGTTTTCCGAATGTGTGAAAGTCAGGGGCGTTTCCCGCCTGCTTCACGGAGCAGCAGCGACGGGGTCGAATGTGCTGGAGTGTAACATCAGCTATGTGGTCGATGCTCTAGTTATTTTATTTTATTTCATAGAAGAAGGGAGCGGGAGAGAGAGATACATCAATGATGAGAGATTACCTTTGATCAGCTGCCTCCTGCATGTCCCCCTACTGGGAATCAAGCCTGCAACCTGAGTACATGTCCTGGACCAGAATCGAACCTGGGACCCTTCAGTCTGCAAGCTGACGCTCTATCCACTGAGCCATGCTGGCTGGCTGGGCTCAGTGCTCTAGTCTAATGCTTTGTGTAACATGACATGTATGAGGTGAGGCCCCAGGGCCCTGGGCGGTGGGTGTGCAGCCAGGCCTGACTGAGCGCCACCCACAGGCACCGATGAGGAGACCATCCTGACCCTGCTGACCGCCCGCAGCAATGCGCAGCGCCAAGAGATCGTGTCTGCCTTCAAGACGCTGTACGGCCGGGTAAGACCGCCTCCCTCCACCCGGGCAGCTGCGAGTGTTAAGATGAGTGTGAAATCTGCTGTGCTCTTTAGCAGAAATCATGTGTTTAACAATTCCAGCTCTCCTCCTCCCCGTCCCCCATCTGCTTAATGAGCAGCTGTTGGTGAACATGCTCACTGGCCTGTCCCCACACATCGCCCTTTGTGCGTGAGCGGGACCCTGTCCTCCTGTGCCATCCCCAGGTGTCCCACGGGGTCCTGGCTCTCCCCAGGTGGTCCCACGGGGTCCCGGCCTCCCCAGGGTGTCCCACGGGGTCCCGGCCTCCCCGGGTGTCCCACGGGGTCCCAGCCTCCCCGGGTGTCCCACGGGGTCCCGGCCTCCCCGGGTGTCCCACGGGGCCCCAGCCTCCCCAGGGTGTCCCATGGGGTCCCGGCCTCCCCGGGTGTCCCACGGGGTCCCAGCCTCCCCAGGGTGTCCCACGGGGTCCTGGCCTCCCCGGGTGTCCCACGGGGTCCCGGCCTCCCCCAGCATCCCACAAGGTCCTGGCCTCCCCCAGGGTGTCCCATGGGGTCCTGGCCTCCCCAGTGTGTCCCACGGGGTCCCGGCCTCCCCAGGGTCCCATGAGATCCTGGCTCTCCCCAGGGTGTCCCTTGGGGTCCCGGCCTCCCCCAGCATCCCACAAGGTCCTGGCCTCCCCCAGGGTGTCCCATGGGGTCCCGGCCTCCCCAGGGTCCCATGAGATCCTGGCTCTCCCCAGGGTGTCCCTTGGGGTCCCAGCCTCCCCCAGGCATCCCATAGGGTCCCGGCCTCCCCATGGTGTCCCACAGGGTTCCGGCCTCCCCGGGTGTCCCACGGGGTCCCAGCCTCCCCCAGCATCCCACAAGGTCCTGGCCTCCCCCAGGGTGTCCCATGGGGTCCCGGCCTCCCCAGGGTCCCACGAGATCCTGGCTCTCCCCAGGGTGTCCCTTGGGGTCCCGGCCTCCCCCAGGCATCCCACAGGGTCCCGGCCTCCCCATGGTGTCCCACAGGGTCCCGGCCTCCCCATGGTGTTCCACAGGGTCCTGGCCTCCCCATGGTGTCCCACAGGGTCCCGGCCTCCCCAGGGTGTCCCTTGGGGTCCCAGCCTCCCCCAGCATCCCACAAGGTTCTGGCCTCCCCCAGGGTGTCCCAAAGGGTCCCGGCCTCCCGCAGGTGTCCCACAGGGTCCCGGCCACCCCAGGGTCTCATGGGGTCCCTCTTTTTCCCAGCTGTCGGCCTGGACCACGATGGGTGTGGTCAGGACATAGGCACGTTCTCGATGGGGAGTGGTATTTTGATGATTCAATTGGAAGTTAAATTTGTTAGGAAATCAATGGATGTCTACCTAAACAACTTAGATGTCATCTTATCATTCTGCAAATTTTCATTCGGCCTTTCATTTAGAAATAAATGCAAAGCAAAAAATAAAAAAATAAAAAAATAAAAAGGAGAAGCAGGTACTTTGAACCCAGTCTCTGGCTGCCAGGAGGCTCGGGAGGGGGTGGGAATCCTTTCCTCCTCACCCTGAGCGCGTTTCCCAGGTGCATCTTCCCGACATTGAGAGAAAAGACAGATGGTTGTGAAACAAGGACAGATCTTACCTTTTGTAAAATACATTTACGATATTTTGTGAGAAGTTTTTTTTAAAGCTATATGTGTTTCTCAGAACAGTATTTTTAAAACAGAATTTTTGTGTCCTTTTAAAGTTTTCACTTTTTTAATTCCTGAAGGAAGAGAAACATTTGTTGAGAACAGCGACCTTGACACGGAGGGCATGGCCTTGCTCTCCCTCAAGCCCAGGCGGGCAGGGCGGCACTGAGAGCCCCATCCTCCTGCCTCCAATGGGGAGCCCTCAGAGCGCCGCGTCACTCCCGGCGAAGAGCCGCAGCGGGTGCCTGCTAACGTCTGTGTTCTCTGAGCAGGACCTCCTGGACGACCTGAAGTCGGAGCTGACGGGGAAGTTCGAGAAGCTGATCGTGGCGCTGATGAAGCCCTCGAGGCTGTACGACGCCTACGAGCTGAAGCACGCCCTCAAGGTACAGGCCCCACGGCCTCCCCATGGTGACCGCCTTCTTAGTAAAACTGTCCAGTTATCCCTGCGAGGGTTCCTGGAGAGCAGAGCGGTGGGAGGAGAACATTACAAGTGTGTCACTCTGTCCTTGTGTAGTTTATAGTGTACTCAACGCTATAGCTATTTACATTAATATATGTATGTATATTGTTATTGATTTCAGAGAGCAAGGGAGAGGGAGAGAAACAACATGATGAGAGAGAATCATGGACCGGCTGCCTCCTGCATCTCCCACATTGGGATTGAGCCCGCAACCCAGGCATGTGCCCTGACCGGGAATCGAACCACCGGAAATCGAACCACAACCTCCTGGTTCATAGGTCAATGTTCAACTACTGACCCATGCCAGCTGGGTGCTATTTAAATTTTTAACATTTTTTACAGCCTTTTAGATCTTTTAAGCCTATTTCTAATTTTGAGATGTTTCTTAAAAATGTTTAGGTTAGGCATCCTGTCTTATAGAATAGGAAGTTGGCGGGGTGGGGAAACAGTATTGTTGATCATTATAGGTTAAATAGCGAAGCTTCGGGAATTTTCAGGTCAGAAAGTGTTGTTATACCCCTTCCTGGGAGGACCGGGTGACACTGTAGCAGGTAGCTCACCGCACGTGTCCTTGCCAGTGCTGGAATATGGTCAGTCTGGCCACACAGAAACCGTGGTTTGTGGTTTGGACCGGTGGCACTGGAAATGTCATTCATTGGCAGCTTTGAGTTGGGAGGAAAAGGAAACAGATTGGATAACAAAGAGGTCATGTGGCCAGGGATTCTCCGTGGGAGTGGAGTGGAGAGGGGGACCAGGTCAGGGCCTTCCTGGGCATTTACCCTGCATTTCCCTGCCGGCTCTTTGGGATAAACACTGTCCGGAGTCCTGGGGCAGGTGTCTGTGGCGAGCTCTGCAGTGGTAGCAGCAACCAAGGTTCTGCCTGAGCGAAATCCAGGTCTTCCAAGGGCTTGGATTTTGGTAAAGAAACAGAGATAGGAAGAGACTGATGCTTACACGTACCTCCCTTTTTTTTTTTTTTAAATTTATATTTTATTGATTTTTTACAGAGAGGAAGGGAGAGAGATAGAGAGCTAGAAATGTCAATGAGAGAGAAACATCGACGAGCTGCCTCTTGCACACCCCCTCCCGGGAATGTGCCCGCAACCAATGTACATGCCCTAGACCAGAATCGAACCTGGGACCCTTCAGCCCGCAGACCGACGCTCTACCACTGAGCCAAACCGGTTTCAGCACGTACTTCCTTCTAAAGTTGAGTCAGGTTATATCATTGCTAATTTATCAGTGTTGTGACGGCTTTTATAATCAGAAAAAGGAAAACAGGTGACAATTGTTTTTCAAAACTCTAGAAAGCAAGTCCCAGTCCTTTCACTGGTTCAGTCCCTGCTCACTGAGCCACGCTGCTCAGACATCCCGTGTGCCACAGAGCGCTGAGTGGGGCGGGGCTGGTGTTTTGAGATAGATTGTTTACGTATCAGTGCTGCTCTGAGTTACATTTGCACTGTTTCAGCCTTTTTTATTTTTTCATGTTTCATTAAAATGTTTTACTTCTAAATTATTTAGAATGAAACCGATAAAATTACAGGGTTGTGTAACCTGCTATCTCTATATGCACTTACATTCAGTGAAGGTTGTTTTTCATTAGACAAGGGACAACATTGTCTTAGGAAAGAAAATTGAAGTTTCTTATTTCTGTAACTAATGGAACTCATGCAAAGTAGTGAATGTTATATTGGATATTCTATATAATTCTGAGTTTGGGTAACGTCTATTGTAGGAATATCACTTTCTCTTTACTCTGTGGACACGTTCTTCTCATTAAAAATCAATCTCCACACAGGGAGCAGGGACGGATGAGAAAGTCCTGACGGAAATCATTGCTTCCCGGACCCCTGAGGAGCTCACAGCCATAAAGAACACCTACGAAGAAGGTACAGCTTCAGCCTGCCTTTCTCGTCCCCACTGTCCCGCCTTCATTTCTCTAGCAGAGTTTCTCAACCTTCCTGATTCCTCCACCCTTTAATCCAGCTCCTCATGTTGCGGTGACCCCCAACCATAAAATTATTTTCGTTGCTACTTCACAACTGTAATTTTGCTGCTGTTATGAATCGTAATGTGTTTTCCAATGGTCTTAGGCTCTACAGCAGCGGTTCTCAACCTGTGGGTCGCCTAAGATAGCAAATGGTTAAAAACCTCCCTAAGGAGAGGATGCAGAGAGGGATGGGGAGGGAAAAGGGAAAAAGGGCAGTTTGACTCCTGAGCAGAGAAGCCAGCATTGTCAGGCGGGGCCAGAGGGAGCTGCAGGTGCTTCTGAATTCCGGAAAAAGAAAGGGGCCCGTGGTCACCTAAGAGCCGTACTCCACGGCACAGCCAGGAATCTCTCTGACACGGAAGGGTGAGCCCGTGTGCACCATGGCTGCCAGGCGCCTCGAGGGCACAGTGTCTGCAGGGACTCTGGCAGCAGCAGCAGCTGGCAGCAGTGTGGATGGTAGGGAAAGATGGGAAGGTGCCTCTGGCCTAGTTCGCCCTCAGGGCAGCTGCTGCCTACTGAGGGGCAGTAATTACAGGACAGTCAACTTCAAACTGAAGCCAAATACCAACAGCCTTGAATGCAAGAATTCACTCAGAGGAGAGGCTTTGGGTGTTGGGAGGGTCTTCCTGGTGTAGTCAGGTGCTGAGCAGGGTTTGGAGACAGGTGGGGATGGGGACAGGGGTAGGGGCGGGTAGGGGGAGGAGGAAGGCAGTTTTGCCTGCCCCTGGCTTGCAGTGCCGTGGAGATCGGGCTGTGGGAAGTGTGTGGAGGGGACAGAACCCGGCCGTGGGGAGGAAATGCGTGTGTTTGCGGGGAGAGTTAGGCTGTTGGAGGGGGATTCGCCTGGCCGGTCTGCAGGCTGGCGTTGGGTTCAGAGGCACAGCGCTCCCGCGTGGGCGAGGGCTGTTGAAGGACTGGGAGGAAGGGTCTGTGTCAGGTGGCCGGGTGTGGGCGGGAGGTAAGCTGGGCAGGTCCCACCTGTCCAAGTGGGTGCAGGTGGGGGGATGACTCCTAGGGACACGTGCGAAAGGCGTGGGGTAGATGGTAGAGGGAGCGAGGAAGAGCCCTGTGGGTTTCCTGTTTGGGTCACGGATTGAAATAAACAGGCAATGCTCTTGGACCTTTTCAAATAGAAGTTCCAGGCTCTTGAGTGTTGGCTGCTTTCAGACAACGACGAAGTATTTAAACGCCTTGGAGTATTTAACTGCAGGCTTCTGGGTCCATTCTCTGCCCTCGGCTGTGGGGAGGAGCCGAAATGTGTGGCGGGCAATGGCCTCAGTTGAGCGGTCACTGTTCTCCCTCAGGGTGAACTTTACTTGCTGCCGAGGAAAGACACCCTGTTAGTGGCAGGATGCCTTTCCCCCAAAGAGAAAACAGGACCAGAGCAGCAGTGTTCCTCTGGTGTGCCGCATGGGTATCCAAGACGTGCCATCCTGACTGCCGAGCCAGGACACGACCTCTCCCCTCAGATTGTCAAGCGAACACCTGACAGCAGCCAACACAGCCGTAGCCGTCCGGTGTGAACGAATCAGAACCATGCCTCCTTTGTGTGCCAGATTGGCAGGAAGTGTCACATCTGCTGGCATGCATGGTGGGGGAGGTTGGAAATCGCTGGTCTGGAGGGCGGAGACCTTTGGGACAGTCCTGTACACCGTCCGGCAGGAAGGAGGCAGTTGGCACAGGGTCGCTTGCAGTGGAGGCTCTCGGTGCTGCCGAGTCTGCAGGGTGTCCATCGGCTCACAGTGACAGTGCCCGGAGCACTTGTGAGCGCTGAGTCATAGTCCAGGCGTGGACCGAGGACTTCTGGGAAACCTCTCCACCCAGCACTCACTCAGAGCCTTGGCTGTCACAACCGAGGGCACTCGGAACAGAGTAGAGAACATTTATGCTAATCAGATACTTCTTTTTTAAAGTCAAGATCAATTTAAAAAATTTATTGATTTCAGAGAGAGGAAGGGCAAGGGAAAGAGGTAGAAACACCAGTGCTGAGAGGGAATCGTTGACTGGCTGCCTCCTGCACGCCCATCCCACTCGACGTTCCAGGCTTTTAGTGCTGCCTGCTTTCAGATAGATGAAATATTTAAGTGCCGTGGAGGAGCCTCCTTCCTTTGATGGTGGCTGCACGTTAGTCACAAGGGCTGTGGGCTCCCGTGGTCCCGGATGGAGCGTATAACCCGGACGTGTGCCCGACCAGGAATCGAACCACGAGCTCCTGGTTCATGGGTCCTGCTCGCTGGGCTGATTGGGCTCCACTTCCTCTGTGTCCTCCTGGGCGAAGGGGCGGGATCTCCCTCCTGGCTGACGGAGCTGTCAGTAACCCTGACATTGTTCTATTGCAGAATACGGCTCGAGCCTGGAAGACGATGTGGTGGGGGACACCTCGGGGTTCTACCAAAGGATGCTGGTGGTTCTCCTCCAGGTATCTGGGGGACCTACAGTGCAGTAGTCAATCTGATGCCAGCCTGGCCTGGTCCATTAAGGGAGGCCACTTACAGTTCTGTCAGTCATTTCTGGTGCTTGCTTGGGGCAGGGCCTGTGTCTGTGTGTGTCTGTGTCTGTGTCTGTGTGGTGTCTGTATCTGTGTCTATCTGTGTCTGTGTCTGTGTGTCTGTGTCTGTGTGTCTGTGTCTGTGTGATGTCTGTGTCTGTGTCTATGTCTGTGTGTCTGTGTCTGTGTGTCTGTATGGTGTCTGTGTCTGTGTGTTGTCTGTTTGCCTCAGGCCTGACCGGAACTCCCAGTAGCTAACTGGAAGTTTTCTGGGTGTCACATCATCTTTCACTCATAGAATGTGAAACCGAGAGGATCAGGTTGGGTTTGACCGGGGCCAGCAGGGGGAGTCATTTCCTTTTCTTGGAAAAGCTGGGGAAACTCAGGGACGTGTGTCCTCTCTCGCAGGCTAACCGAGACCCCGACAGTGGGATCGACGAGGCGCAGGTTGAACTGGACGCACAGGTGAGTGGCACCCATGTGTGACGGCTGCAGGTGACACGGAGTGATGATGCCTGGGCTTATGACATTCTCCGTGTTGTGTCACCATGGCCTCTGTCTGGTCTCTCAAAGCACAAGGCCCTTGAACGTTTCTTTTACTTTGACGTGGCCCACAAAGTCTTTTATCCCAAAGCTGAAATGCAGTGAATAAATTACATATAAAGTGTGAGGCGCACCGAGGTCAGTTTTCCTGGGATCCCGGAGCACCCACAAAATGGAGAATTTGACAAAGAACAACCCAGGTGTTACTGATCCCACTGCCGAGGAGGCGGCAGGTCAGGGCAGAGGGATGAGAAGGGTGGGTTCTAGTGCTGAGTGGTGTTTAGTATACAGTAGGTGACAACTCATTGTAGGATTTGGAGGTTGCCTCCTCTCTTGACGGAATTCTGCCGAGCGGATGTCATTGTCACTGGTTTCAGTGCCATCGCTCCGCAGAGTGCTCCCTGTCAGTGTGTCTCAGACTCATCACCCGGGGACCCCCCTGCAGGCTTCCCTCAGGGCCCGGGGCTGGGCACCGGCATTTCTCACAGGCTCGGCGGTGCCCATGAGCACCAGGTGCCCATGAGGCCATTCGGTGTCACCTACCTGCCTGCAGGGGTGCCCCCCCCCCAGAGCCCGAAGGGGCGCTACGTCAGAAAGTGCTTAGGGACTGTCCCCCAGGGAGGGTCCCCCGAGGGAGTGTCCCCCAGGGAGGGTCCCCCAGGGAGGGTCCCCCATGGAGTGTCCCCCGAGGGAGTGTCCCCCAGGGAGGGTCCCCCAGGGGAGGGTCCCCCATGGAGTGTCCCCTCAGGGAGGGTTCCCCCAGGGATGGTCCTCCAGGGAGGGTCCCCCCAGGGAGGGTCCCCCCAGGGAGGGTCCCTGAGGGAGCCCGGCCTCCCGCCTGCACAGGGACGGGCAGCACAATGGCAACTTCGCTCTTCGGGTCGGCTCTGGGCGAATTACTAGGTCAGGGTCAGCCTGTTGGAGACGGTCCTGCCAGCTGGGGAGAAGGGACCTTTGGGCCCTTCATAGCCTGTGATGTGTTCTCTCCTGGTCCGTGGCCCAAACCTCCGCTTTCAGGACTCGGGAGCCGTGCGTCTGGTGGGCCTGAGTGTGCTGGGTGGCCGCCGGCCTGGCCCGCTGCAGTGGTGCTGAGCTCGCCTCCTCCCCGTCCCTGCGCTCTCGGGGCGGTGGCCCGGGTGGGGGAGCAGGGCTCACTGAGCGAGTGGATGGCTGAGCCTGTGGAAACGTCCTGCTCCAAAGGTGGGCCCTGAGGCTCCTGAAGATGGCAGGGCCTCGCCTAGGACCCACAGAGGACCAGGGGGAGGAGGGGGAGGGGGAGGCTTTCTGACTGAAGCCTCGTACTGGGCACTGAGCCCTGGGTTCCCCAGCTGAGCTTGGGCGGATGCAGGAAGGGTGTTGGGGAGGGAGGCAGGAGGCCCCTCATCAGCAGCCGCCTGTGTGGACGCAGCAGTGTTGGGGGGTGGGAAGGGTCGGGGGGGGCGCGCGGGAGGGGGGCGGACTTGCCCATCAGAGCAGGACACGGCGAGGTTCTCAGCATCTGCCTCCATGAAGCGCCCTCATCTCATTGCGGGATTTCCTGCAAGTAGCTGTAGAACAGATACCGATCCAGATAGTTCTTTCACGAAAACCAGGAGCGTGCAGTTAAAATAGCCGTTTCCCATGATTCCCGGCTGCAGGGGAGCCGCCCTGGAGGTGCAGGCCCCACCTGGGTGCAGGCCCTGCCCGTAGAGTGTGTGCTTGTCTCTGTGGGAAACGCAGTAGGTGGTAGTTTGGTAATTTCATTTCATGCATGTTGTCCTGTGTTTACAACACTCTTCAGGGAACACGTGCTGTTTCTGTGAGGAGGTGTGCAGACTGCTTTGAGGGGTCTGAACACTGGGTTCTATGCTGGAGCTCAGGGCTGACCACAGGTCTTCCCTGTTGTTGTTTTAAAACAATACTAGAGGTCTGTGCACAGATTTGTGCACTGGTGGGGTCTCTTGGCCTGGCCTGCAGGGACTGGGCTGAAACTGGCTCTTCAACACTCTCCGAGGGGTCCCGGGTTGCGAGAAGGCAAAGGCCGGGCCCAGAGACCCCACCCGTGCAGGATCGGGGCTGGGGAGGGACACAGGAGGTTGGGCAGCCAGGGCGATTGTGGCCGTTCGTCCTCGGGGTCCCAAGTAGCTCCAGACTCGGGCTGTGGGCTCAGAACAGAAACGTTAGGTGGAGAAGTGCCAGATGAGCGCCTGGCGGGTTAACGCTTGGGGGGAGGAGCCTGGGTGTGACGCTGCGGGGAAGGAGCCGGGCCTGACGGAGCGGACTCTTCCAGACGCTGTTCCAGGCGGGAGAGCTGAAGTGGGGCACGGATGAGGAGAAGTTCATCACCATCTTCGGGACGCGCAGCGTGTCGCACCTGCGGCGGGGTGAGTGCGGGAGACACGGGCGTGCCGGTTACCGGCAGGTGTGCTGTGAGATGGACGGGCCCGCGCCTGCTTCCTTCTGGGGGACCTGGGGCCTCGCGGCATTCTCCTCGCTGCTGTAGCTTTTACAGGGAGAGCCCCGTCCACCTCTCGCTCCAGGCAGGAGCGGCCGGCTCGGGATGTCCTCTCATCACAGACCCAGGCTGTGGGCGCCCCTCCCAGAGAGGTAGCCTGGCTCTTCTCCGGGTGGGCGGCGCTTGATGGCCCCTCTGGGTTTCAGTGAGTTGTCCACAGTTTGCTACATTGGATAGTCCTCGGGGCTAAGGGTTTGCACAGCCAGAAGGAAAGGAAGATGTAAACGTGCTTCTATGACTTTTAGTGAGGACAGGAAGGTGTCTCGGAATGTTCCGGACTCCCCTGTAGGTCCCATTGCTCAGGACTGGTATCAGTGAGCAGGACAGTCCCATCAGGTATTCAGGGCCCTCTGCGGCTCGGACACATGAGGCCCCGTCAGGAAGGAAGAGGGGCTTTGTGCTCCGAAGGGCGACGCCGGTGAGAGGGGTGCCTGTTTCTGTGGGCAGAGGGACCTGGTGTCCTGAGACCGTCTTTCTGCTCTCCAGTGTTCGACAAGTACATGACTATCTCGGGATTCCAGATCGAGGAAACCATTGACCGGGAGACTTCCGGAAACCTGGAGCAGCTGCTGCTGGCTGTCGGTAGGTCACCGTACGGTGTTGGTGACATGTGGCATTGAGAGCGTGTCTGTCTGAGCACCGGCACCGATTCCTGGTGAAAAGAAGAGCGTGTGAGATCTGGGTGACAGACGCCTGCCTTCCCGTGTGATGTCTGCTTTGTGGGGGAACACAGATGGCCTGGTTAGCGCCTGTGGGGATACACAAGGGCTGTGTGAGCATCCTCTCGAAGCTGCTCTCACGGTCTTACTGCGTCCTGAGGAGCCGGAGGGCGGGTGGCGTCTTAGGCCGGGCCACGTTATCGCTGATGCTGCGGACGTTGTGGCTCCCAGCCCTGTCCTCCCGGCGGCTGAGACACGGCCGATGGAGGAAAGGGTCTTGGGTGAACCGGGAGCTGTGACCGTGGTTGTTTGCAGTTAAACGATGGGGAATTTCATGGCAGCTGCCCACTCAGGGTGATCTGGAAGACGGGAACCGAGTGGGTGCAGGTTCTTGTAGCATCACATGCTCCCAAGTCCAGGCAGGCCCAGGAGGCACGGCCCAGGCCCGGCTTCCCCCTGGGTTCGAGGGGCACGTTGCTGCACATGGGCGTTGTGACGTGCAGTCACTGGGGGTGGGCTCTGTCTAAGCGTTGGGAAGAAGTCTGCCCTGCCCCATGGGGGGTTATTTTTGGATCAAAAGGGATTTTCATCTAAATGTTCTGCAGCTCAGCAGCCTGAGGGCCAAGCAGCCTGAGGGCCGAGCGGCCGCCCAGGGGATGGATCGGGCAGGTGCCCGTCCAGGGAGGGTGTCCTTCCTGCCCCCCGTTTACCTGGTGTTCCTCCTGTGGGCCCCGTGGTGTGCAGCATGCAGACTTGGTTACGATGGCGGGCACAGACGGAGTTTGCAAAGACCCGGGATAAGTGTAGTCTGTGTTACTGGCTTGAATGTACTGGGACGAGACCTCCAGGAAGCTTGTGGACTTTCTCGGGGCCGATGAAGGTTGTGCCTTAACAACCAACGCTACCAAAACTGCCAGGAGAGAAGATGCTGGGAACAGTGGCCTCAGATCTGACCCTCTCGCTGTGCCCCCTGCTGGTGAGCGGGGCCTGAGGCAGTCTTCCTCCCCCTCCCTTCCTCTGGGGAAATACTTGGAGCTCAGCTCCCTGGGTCTGCAGGAATAAAACAGCCGTGGGCAGGAGGGGGCCTGGGACTTCAAATTAGTCCCTTTTAAAAATAAATACATATTTATTGATCTCAGAGAGGAAGGGAGAGGGAGAGATAGAAACATTAAGGATGAAAGAGAATCATTGATCGGCTGCCTCCCGCCCGGCCCACACTGAGGATTTAACCCAGGACCCTTCAGTCCGCAGGCCTGTGCTCTACCCACTGAGCCAAACCGGCCGGGGCTGCCTCGTCCCTTGCTGCCGGAGTAGCCCCTGACCTCATGTTCTCGCTCTCCTCCCAGTGAAGTGCATCCGGAGCATCCCTGCCTACCTGGCCGAGACCCTCTACTACGCGATGAAGGCAAGTTCCGCTCGCTCCTCTGCTGGTCTCTCCGGCTGCGGTGCTGGGCAATGGCTTAGGTGACGGCCCGTGAACGTCTCTCCTTAGCGCTGTCGCTGCTTTCACCAACGGCTCTCTGCGACCGCCCAGCTCAGGGCGTGTCTGTAAAGACCGCCATCCGCTCTCTCTGCAGGGCGCCGGCACTGACGACCACACCCTCATCAGGGTCATTGTGTCCAGGAGCGAGGTCGACCTGCTCAACATCAGGAAGGAGTTCCGGAAGAACTTTGCCACCTCGCTCTACTCCATGATCAAGGTGAGGGCCTTCTCTGCTCCGACAGAAACCCACAGCAGACCCCGTGCACACGCGGCGGAGAGGGCGGTTCTGTGCTGGGTTTCAGGCAGAAGGGGGATGAGGTGTGGGGGCAGCAGTGGGGGGAGGCTGTGTGGGGAGCTGGGTGTGGGGGGAGGCTGTGAGGGAGGAGGCTGGTATGGGGGAGGTAGTGGGGGGGCGGGGGGAGGCTGAGTTTAGGGGAGAGAATGGGGGGCAGGGGAAGGCTATGCAGGGAGGCTGGGTGTGGGGGAGCCAGTGTGGAGGGAGGAGGCTGGGTGTGGGGGAGGCAGTGGGAGGGCAGGGAGGCTGTGCTGGGAGGCAGGGTGTTAAGGAAGCAGTGGGGGGAGGTGCAGAGAGGCAGGGTGTGTGGGAGGCAGTGGGGGAGGCGCAGGGAGGCTGGGTGAGGTGGGAGAGAGTGGGGGCAGGGGGAGGCAGTGTGGAGGGAGGAGGCTGGGTGTGGGAAGGGCAGGGGAGGCTGTGCTGGGAGGCAGGATGTCGGGGAAGCAGTGGGAGGAGGCTGGGTGTGGGGAGGCAGTGGGGGAGCAGGGGGGAGGCTGAGTGTAGGGGGAAAGAGTAGGGGGACAGGGGGAGGCTATGCAGGGAGGCTGGCACACTGTTCCTGGAGGCCGTGATGGCTCTGGTCAGGCCGAGGCCTGAAGAGCATGAGCCTTGGCTGGCAGAGGCCTCAGATGCCTCGGCAGACCCTCCCCTTGGCAGGGTGACAGCATGTTTGCTCTCTCTGATCAGCTCCAGCGGCCTTCATGGCTCCTCCTGAATCATCTAGTCTGTCTGTCATCACCGTGTCTCTGGTTCACGATTCAAGAAAGAACTGACTAGGTCACAGGAGTAAGTCAGGGCACTACTAAGTGTGGCTTAAGGCCATTGACTCTCCTCCCCTCTTCCCCTTCTTCTGTCCTCCCCCTCCCACTTCCCTCCCAGCCAGGTTAGGATCAGGGTCAGAGTTAGGGTCAGGGTCAGGGTTAAGGTTTAAGTTAGGGTCAGGGTTAGGGTTAGGGTCAGGGATAGGGTCAGGGTCAGGGTTAGGGTCAGGGTTAAGGTTTAAGTTAGGGTCAGGGTTAGGGTCAGGGTCAGGATTAAGGTTTAAGTTAGGGTCAGGGTTAGGGTCAGGGTTAGGGTTAGGGTCAGGGTCAGGGTTAGGGATAGGGTCAGGGTCAGGGTTAGGGACACGGTTAGGTTCAGGGTTAAGGTTTAAGTTAGGGTCAGGGTTAGGGTTAGGGTTAGAGTTAGGGTCAGGGTTAGGATTAGGATCAGGGTTAAGGTTTAAGTTAGGGTCACGGTTAGGGTTAAGGTTAGGGATAGGGTCAGGGTCATGGTTAGGGTTAGGGTTATGGTCAGGGTTAAGGTTTAAGTTAGGGTCAGGATTAGGGTTAGGGTTATGGTCAGGGTTAAGGTTTAAGTTAGGGTCAGGGTCATGGTTAGGGTTAGGGTTATGGTCAGGGTTAAGGTTTAAGTTAGGGTCAGGGTTAGGGTTAGGGTTATGGTCAGGGTTAGGGTTAGAGTTAGGGTCAGGGTTAGGATTAGGGTCAGGGTTAAGGTTTAAGTTAGGGTCACGGTTAGGGTTAAGGTTAGGGATAGGGTCAGGGTCATGGTTAGGGTTAGGGTTACGGTCAGGGTTAAGGTTTAAGTTAGGGTCAGGGTTAGGGTTAGGGTTATGGTCAGGGTTAAGGTTTAAGTTAGGGTCAGGGTTAGGGTTAGGGTTAGGGTTAAGGCATGGCTCAGCGGAGCAGCTCCCTGTGTGTGGCGAGGCGGCGAGTGCACCTGAGTCCCGTGCTCCTGCTCTCGTGCTCTCGGAGCCTGAAGTATCGGTCACACACTCTGTGCCCTACAGGCAGAGGGGCCGCCTGGCCTGGAGCAGAGCAGCAGCAGCCAGCGCCCTCAGCAGTGTGTCTGACACGGCCTCGAGCGTGTCCAGACCGCGGTGGGAACGGGTGTGGGGCTCCGTCCTCTGACCCCGAGGGGACAGCCTCTCTGACAGACTGCGCCGTGGCGGCTGAGCCGGGAGTTAGACGGCTGTGTGGGCGGACACCGCGGCCTCCCCAGGTGCCAGTGGGTCACGGCCGGCTGGTTCTCTGTCCCTGGGCTGCCTGAGGGTGGCGCTCACACAGACCCTCTGGGTTTCAGGGCGACACGTCCGGGGACTACAAGAAAGCCCTCCTGCTGCTCTGCGGGGGCGAAGACGACTGAGGCCAGGAGGACCCGCCCGCCCGCGCCCTCAGCACTGCTCCCTCCGCAGCCCGAGCCACACGCTGCCTTACCCTGCCCGAGGCCATGCCCCACATGGCAGACAGGCACGGCTTCTGCTCTCCCTCCTAACTCGCCCTCAAGCCCCTTCCCCGCTCAGACAAAGCTGCCTCCCTCCCGCGTGTCCCTGGACGAGGTCAGGCGGCCCCTCAGGCGGCCGGGGGTGTCAGCGCTCACGGTGCGGCCGCACTGGACGCAGCTGGAAGTTGGGAACCTGGAAGCTCGTCGGCCGCTGGGCCACCCAGTGACCCCGGAAGCCATGCGGTTGCCCTCAGAGGGTTATCGAATAAACATTTCCTTCCCGGCCTGTGTGTGTGGATGTAACTGGTCTGACAGGGGTGTGCAGTTGGCCGCCCAGACTGCCCATCCCCCACAGCGGGCGCGGGCACAGGGCCTGGGTCTCAGCCCACGGGCGGCGCGTTCACATGGCACCTTTTCCGATGCTGCTGCTGCTTCGTGGAAACGCTGAAACGTCACCTAAACATTCAGAGCGAGTTTTCTTCATGGTTAACTCATGTTTGCTGTTTTCTTTTTTTTCTAGTCTGTTTATTTACTTTAAAAGTTTCAATTCCAATTGGCGTTCAATAGTATCTTAATTTCAGGAGTCCAGCACAGGGGTTAGACTTTTATCTTTTGAGGTGTGGTGCATGGCCTTTGTCCCTCAGCCCGGCCTGCACCCTCTCGCAGTCCGGGAGACCTTGGGGGACGTCTGACTGAGGGCAGACCCTCTGACATCCTTAGCGCTGTCAGGGAGGCGGGCCCCTGCACCCCAGCCTTCAGCCCGGCTTCCCCTGTGGGAGTGCACTGACTACCTAGGGCAGCTCCTATGTTGAGCATCTGCCCACTAGTGGGCAGATGCTCAACGTAGCATGTCATAGTGACCAGCCATTTTGCTGTTTGGTCAGTTTGTATATTACCCTTTTATTATATAGAATTAAAAAAATATATTTATATTGACTTCAGAGAGGAAGGGAAAGAAACATCAATGATGAGAGAATCATTGATCAGCTGCCTCCTGCACGTCCCATATTGGGGTCAAGTCTGCAGCCTGGGCATGTGCTCTTGGCTGGAATTGAACCCGAGACCCTTTAGCCCCAAAGCTGTTGCTCTATCCACTGAGCCACACCAGCCAGGGCAGGCAGCAGCTTTTAAAGGATGAAAATGTACCTGTTGGAGGGGAGGGCTGGGAGATGGTGTTTCTGGCTGCGCCCTCTGCGCGGAGCTTGGGGTGAGGGCCAGGGAGGAATTGCTGCTTCCTGTGCATTTCGCTGAACCTGTGACCTCCCGTTGGCCGCTGGAGCCAGGCTGTCACAGATGTGTCCTCTGCTGGCGGCCACCAAAGCCGGGCCCAGACGTGTGCACAGGCTCCTCAGAGACAGGCACCATGGGTGGGGCAGCCAGGTGGGATGGGACTGCAGGGCAGCGTGGTGATTGCACCCCCAGTGTCCCTGGTCCCTGCAGAGGCCTGCAGGCAGCCCCTCATGTCTAGTTTAATTAGCAGCCTGGCCCCAGGCCGCAACTATGAAGATAAGCCGGTAGCCCTTTCCCAGGCGCTGTGTGGTCTCTGCTGTGCCCTGGGGGCTGGGGGGGGGGCTGTGCTAGCCTGTAGAGGTCCCACGGGCCAGGAGCACAGCCCGGAGGCACCTGAGCTGGTGAAGGAGGGGTCCCTGCAGCAGGTGCAGAGTTCAGCACAGGTGCATGAGGAGCCAGCCAGGGCCCCTGCAGGAGCCGGGGGCAGAGTGTGGAGGTGCGCCCGCCTCCGTCCCAGATGGTGCCCCAGGAGTCCTGTGTCAGCACCCCAAGGAAGCAAGTAGAGTGCTCACGGAGAGACGACACAAGGACTGTGCCAGGCCCTGTCGGCAGTGTGCCCTCTGCTGTGACTGAGGGTTTGGTGTGTCCCTGGGCCCAGGAACCGGCTGCACTGGCCTCCACAGCCAGGTGGCCGGAGGGCCCTGGGCGGCAGCCGCCAGGCGGGCACCAGGTGCATGGCAGCCCCCACTCCCCCGAGGGCGCTCGAGCATGGGGGGGAGCGTGGGGGGAGCGGGGCCATCTCCCTTCCTCCGGGTCCTCCATGTGCTTCCTGTTCTGAAGGCACGGGACCCGTGGTGCCTCCTCTGCGGGGTGTGGCCAGCCAGGAGGGCTCTCCCTCTGTCCAGTTCCCGGGACCCGTGAGCAGGCAAAGGACAGATGTCTCTGGTCCCCGGAGCCAGGGCGGCAGAGGGTGTGCAGGCTCCTCTCCGGAGGCCCTTCGGCCGGTGTGGCCTCCGCCGGCCGGAGGTTCCAGGAGGCTGGAGCCGTGCTCACCACAAGCCGCCCTCGCGCTGGCTCCTTCGGAAAAGCATACAATCCAGCCCCATGCACAGTGGGGAGCCTCGATCTATGAACCAGGCAGTCACGGTTTGATTCCGTCAGGGCGCATGTCCAGGTTTCGGGCTCCATCCCTAGTGTGTGTGTGTGTGTGTGTGTGTGTGTGTGTGTGTGTGTGTGTGTGGCGGGGGTGGGGGGAGTTTGTGTGCAGGAAGCAGCCAATCAATGTGTTCACTCTCATGGATGTTGATCTCTCTCTCCACCTCTGCCTTCCTCTCTGAAATCCATTAAAAAAAAACACAAACAAACACAGCCCTAGCTGGTTTGGTTCAGTAGATAGGGTGTTGGCCTGCAAACCAAAGGGTCGTGGGTTTGATTCCTGGTCAAGGGCGTGTGCCAGGCTCCATCCCTGGCCCCAGTTGGGGTGCACACGAGAGACAACAAATTGATGTCTCACACATTGATGTTTTGATCTTTCTCCCCCTCTCCCCCACTCTCCTGCTCCTTCCTCCCCTCCACTCTCTTAAAAAAAAAAATGGAAAAAATATCCTTGGGTGAGGATAAAAACAAACAAGAAGTGAAGCGTAGACTACTCTCTCCCAGAAGTGGGGGTGCTTTCAGAGGCTGCCTCTGTGCTGGCCCCGGCGGGAGTCTGTACCAGCCCTTTAAGCTGTTGCTCAGTTCCCCTGAGTTTTGGGGTCTCGTGGACGCCAGTCCTGCTGGTTTTGAAAGGTAGATATTATGGGGGCTTGTGTCTCACGGGTAGGCTTTAAAAGTTGGGGTGCCAGATGTGGGGTTCTGGCCCTTCACTCCTCAGGGAGAAGCTTGGGCTTTGAGTTCCTTCCTGGCCGGGCCCCTCCTGCGCTGGGGCGGCTGGTGAGGTTGTGTCTCAGCCTCTCGCTGTGTCCATGTGGGGTGTCTCGTTGGTCCGGGAGCAGTTTATTTCAGAAGAAAGTGTTCTGCACTCGCTGTGCGTCTCTGTGGCCAGGCAGGAGGTGAGTTCAAGGTCCTGGTGCGTCTCCCATCTTGAGCCGGATTCAGTGTTTCTTCTTTTCCTGCTTATCAGGTGAATTACATCAGTTGATTTAAAAAAAAAAAAAAAAAAACCCCACACAATTAAAAAATACATTTTTATTGATTTTAGAGAGAGTGAAAGGGAGAGAGAGATAGAAGCATCAATGAAAGAATCACTGATCGGCTGCTTCCTGCACGCCCCCTACTGGGGATTAAGCCCACATACCCAGGCTTATGCCCTAACTGAGAACCGAACTGGTGACCTCCTGGTGCAGCGGTGGACGCTCACCCACAGAGCCACGCGGCCGGGCTATGTCCATTGTTTTCAAAGGCGGCCCATGTTACATTCACAGGACAGTGCCCTTCGTCAGGATGTGGCATCATTTCTGTCTGTCGCTGGATTCAACTTCTGATGCATTTTAAAAAACTATTGTTTCTGTGTTCATGAGGGATACTGGCCTGTAGTTGTTATTTTTTTTTTTTTCTTTAAATAGTTTTGTCCAGTTCTGGTATCAGAGTAATGCTGGCCGTGTGAAATGAACTGACCCCATGACAGTATTTCTTCTTGTTCTATCCTGGCCTTCATCGACCGGGCATGAACATTTCCCTCTGTGTTTGGTAGATTTGTCCGTGAAGTCAGTCATGAGCTGTGTGTGTGTGTGTGTGTGTGTGTGTGTGTCTGACGCTGCACACACACACACACACACATACACACACACTGGGTGTTCTCCCAAACCACACTTTATTTCACCCCGCTCTCTCCAAACCACACTTTAGCAGTTTATTACGTACACGCTTTAAAATATATAGATACCAAATACACATTCATCTATCACAAACTCATTGGCTTAAAATAACAGATTATTACCTCAGTGTTCTGGAGGTCAGAGGTCCAGACTGGAGTGAAGGTGTGGGAGGGGGAAGGTGTGGGCAGGGAGGAGTCTCCTGTCTGTCCCAGCGGCTGGAGGCCCTGCACCTCGGCTCCTGGCCCCCTCCCAGCCCCGGTCACACAAGGCTCCGCGTTCCGGCCTCACCTCTCTCCTGCCTGGACGCTCCCTCTTATGGACCCTGCGGATGCCCACCTGCATAACCCAGGCCCCCTCTGCACGTGAGGGTCACACATGCAAACTCCCTTTGCCACGTATGCACAGATTCTGGGCATTAAGGTGTGGATATCCTTTTGGGGGGGTGGGTGAGGCATTTTCCTGCCTGCTCCAGGTGGTTTCTAGAAAACACCTTTGTGGTACGCACAGCATTTCCTTCTGGTTAGGGTAGGAGTGATGCTCTCCATCCGAGGAGTCAGGGGAACTTCCAAACAACGCGCCTTTAGCTGGTCCATTCGGCCCAGAAACAAGGGAAACTGTCCCATTACTGGATTCTGTGCTTGTGTCTACTGGTCATGACGCCGGTCCCTCCTCCAGTGGGTGGCAGTGCCTCTGGTGCCCAGTAGGTGGTGCTGTTGGCACAAACTTACTTCCCTGACATTCAAACTGCCCTGTGTTTACATCGAAACTTGACACATTTTCAGCACCAGGGGGTCTAAAGTCTTCCCAATCTTCCTCAGCCCCACCCTCGGACAGAAAGAAAATCTCAACTTCAATCCCCGACTGAGTCCCTCACCT